ATTTCCTTGATAAAAAGTGGAGTGTATAAATACCAAGTCTTCGGCTCTATCTGATGTGATTTTGTTCCTCTTCAAGGAGTGTATAAAAGAATAAGTGCTTCAATTCCTCTCATAACATGAGGAGGAACAAGGTTGCATAAGTAACTTCAAAATCAAGTTTTGGAGCAAAGGTATCATAGAGCCATAGATAGATAACCCACTAATAAGACGGCTCCATGATTCCTCTATGACTCATGAAATCATGACTTGCAAATTCTTTAAAGCACACTGAAAACTTGACATACTCCTCTTTGACCTTTCTTCGTTCCTCCAAATTAGAAAAGTATATTTGAACACACTTTTCTTTTTCATTTGAAATCTCTTCATCTTTGTGTGGAAGAACACGATTAGAAGCCATAGAAAGCTACTCCACGCTATAATACCTAAAAGACAAAGTAAATAAAATGATAATTATTTGATATCTAGAAAGTTAAATTAGAATCTTGAGATTTAGGGCTTACAAATTACCTCGGATTCAAGGAATGTGTCAAGCAATAGAGTGGTGTGTTGCTCTTGTCCCATCCATCCATTAATATTCCATAAACCACCGAATAAAAGGTTAATTCCTCATCTTCTTGCTTTCCTTCATAACGATAGATAACAACCTTCACTTGCTCAATCATAGAATTTCACATATCATAAACTAAGTTTTGGCAAGGCATATTTGTATCGACCTTTGTTAGCATTTCATAAATGGGTTTAGTGAAGGAAAGTATATAATTAATTTTGTCCCACCACAAATCATCTAATACTTTTTTCTTCACAAAGGCCGCTTTTCAAGCATCATCTTCTCTATAAGAAGACCACCGATCATTAATAATCATGTTTTGGAGACCACGTTTTAGAACTTTCAATCTTTTAAGTATGACAATGGTTGACGCAAAATTTATTTCAACAATTGAGAGCATCTTCAAATTCACATGTTCATTAAACATGACCAATTTCACGGTGTGGTTTATAATAAAATTGTTAATGTCCACACAATCCAGGGCAATAATTGAGATCCAATTACACTATTCATGAACAAATTCATTGACTTCAGTGTTCTTTGGTGCACAAATATTTTTCAAAGTAAGATTAAGTGTGTGCACCACACAAGGTTTCCAAAAGATAGTGTTTATAACAACCCTC